CGAAGAGGTCATCTCTTGCTTGGATAGTGACGTTCCTGTGACCATTTTCTCCAAATTTGCGAAGTTACCGGACTGCCGACAAGCTGCCGGAATGTTTCCACACGAAAAATTCCTTTTTAAAGCTTGGGGTTTCGATGACGACGAGCAAGTTCAGCCAACGCAGCGGGAAAAATGCAACGGACGACGCAATCCACACTACAGTTGTTGGTCCTACGATGCGACTGTTGCTCAAGTAGCGGTTTTCGTTGTGTTGAGACAGGTCTATGCGCTCCAGAAGGCAAGGATAGTGAAGCAGGCAACGCTTCAGAGCTTCAGGTTTTAAGGCACAATTGCGCACGAGGGCTGTGTCTGAGCGTGTTTCGTTGTGGTCAGTGGTCAGGCGCAGATCCTAGCGTCTCTGTCTAACCTGTCGGCAACGATGAGGATGGGCAGGAGCAACCAGCCTTTTGGGTGTATGCGAACGAGCTTCCAGGGCCCTTTACATCAATATTAAAGCCTTGACCGGAGGCCGGAGGTCGTAGGCTGCCAGTCTTTGGAGAGTTGTACGGAAAAAGATGAGGTTCAGGGCTTCCATGTTTCGTAGTTTGCTTTCATTGACAAGCATTTTACAAATTGATTCTCAGATGCATGTGTGGTCCGGATAAACTCTTGCAAGCTACATATTGCCTGGCAAAAGGCTTGCACTTGCGCTCAAGAGATCTCAAGAGATTTAGAAGTAATTATCGGACGCTCAACATCATGACAGGGAAGTCTTCATGTTATCGCAGGGAAAGTGTAAGGTCTGATATCACTTAGCATAGGGAGAGTGAGAATGAAATCGGTAACACCGACAAGCTCTTTCCAGATAGCAAGTCATGGCGTTCTGGTTCTTGAGCTCTCTGGTGGTGCTCGGCAGAAGTGCTATACTGGAAGAGGCAAGGTCAAACCCTGATTGCTGGTCAGGGGGCTTCACCGAAGAGATTTGCTGCAATGTGTCCTATGATGCCGGCAATCCAGCGTGTTGGGATGGCATTTTCACATATGAGACGTGTTGTCTGTCTACACGTTCTTCTGATAGCATCCGCAGTCCAAGCGCTGACTGCTGGTCGGGGGGCTTTACGGAAGCCCTTTGCTGCAATGCCTTGTATGATGCTGGGAATCCAGCATGTTGGGATGGCATGTTCACATACGAGTTATGTTGCCCGTCCAAACTTCTTGTTACAAACGCTTTGAATGATTCAAGTGCCCAACCTGTTCTGGAGGTTGGTCGCGCGGAATGCTGGAATGCTGATCATAACGTTGAGAAATGGTGTTGTGACAGGTCCAGTCAGGATGCCGCTTGCTGGCAGGGCGAGAATAGTTACAACAGATGCTGCAAGCGGGATCCCTGGGTGATAGCTTCGCTGGCAGCCATGCGGAATGGTTCAATGTTGGAAGTGGCAGCGCAGCCACGTTTGGACCTCCCTTTTCAACAAGAATCTTCTATTTGTGGGGACGGACGCGGACATGTTGACAAAGTTGTTTGTGATCTTTTGCAGCACGCGGAGCACATGCTCCGGCATCCTCTTCGCTCTGACTGCTGGTCGGAGGATTTTATGAAGATGCACTGCTGCAATACCAGAGTTTCTCATGATGATCCCGTATGCTTTGCTGAGGGATTCACTCATGAGGCATGTTGTTTGGGTGTGAGTCCTCAGGTAAAACTTCTGCAGCAGTTCTACAATTGCGATCATTGCATGTCAATGCTTAACCAATCTAAGTTCAATTGTGATGATTATCATTTGTGCTGGCAGCATCATGGCGGCATTGTCATCGCGACATCCAGGGGCCTCTTGAGAAGTGCGGACATCGTCTGCCTTCCTGCAGCCCATGACACAGTGAGTACAGTCGAAGCCATAACTTCCTCGGCTGCGTTTGCTTTGCAGTGGGTGAGAGCCCACCATGACAGCGACAGCTTCATCGATCTGAATTCGAGAATGGGCGCGAATGCTATGGAGATTGTCTGCATGCTCGGCCCGTGGCTGCTGGGGGCGACCGGAATCTGGCACAGAAAAAGGGTTGCATGCCGTCAACCGAACCAAAGGGATCTCGCAATAGATTCTGCTCGCATGGTTGTCACAGTTGCTATTGTGTCAATGCATCTAGCTTTCGTTTTCAGAGAGAGGAGTCCTGAAGCTAACAAGCACCTTGCCATATGGCACTACAACCTCCGCTTTGTTGACATCTTTGGGGTGATTGCCGTCCTCCTGTCCGAGTCACACTCAGAAAGCTGTCTTGCGAGTTGGGATGCGCTTTGGCGAAAGTTGGCGAGGCAGGTCCCACTCAGTTTTGTCTATGAACGATCACAGGCATGGGCTTCCGGCATATGCTCTGACCTTGCATCTTGCACGAGCACGGAGCAGTCGAGCTGGTCTTTCCAGCTTGTTGTTCGCTGCCTCACTTTTTCCCACCACTGGAACTTGCATTTAGATCTGAAGATCTGGCTCGCGCTGAGAGCTGTCTACATTTTGAACCACCAGGGACTGTCTCCCATGCTTGTAGCTGCGCTTGTGGTTCCGATTTCGCTGGCTTGCCTTCACAGTGGCTATCTGAGCAACATGCATAACCCTGAGCTCTATTATCAGTTCTGGACCTATCGTTTGCCAATGAGCCTGCTGGTCCTTTTTGTTGCTTTGAGACGCCGCCGGCTCCAGGATTGGGGAAGCCGTTATCCATGGGCTTGGACTGCAGTGGCTGCTGCATTGTGTAGTCTTGGTTGGGTCCGGTGCATCCCCAAGTTGCCCCATGATGATGCTCCTGTGTGGTGGCAAGACCCATGTATCAAAGAAGGATCCTCATTTTTTTTGGGTGGCATGTTTTTCCATGTGGGCGTGGCAATGTTTTGCCTCCAGCCGCCCTTCGCAACGCCCCAAGCACTTCGCAGGGTGATTTTAAGATTGTCTACACTGACGACTAGTATTTTGATTCTGCACTGGCGGGTCTTCAGTTTCGTGAGTGAGTGTGAGTACAGCAGTTCGCCATCCTTGCTCATGAAGGGACCCACCCTGCACTTGCACATTGCTGAGCAAGCTGAGCATGAATCATCACGTTGGGCGGGCATTTGTTTGTGGACGCTTACGGTGCTGTCCTGTCCGTTGGTAGCTCAGCTGGTGCTTTGGACCATTCAGCATCCATGGGAGAGGCTGTTCCTTCTGTGCCCCAAGCCTATCAGCCGAGCCATCACCTTTGCCTACGTCCTGTTTTTTGCTTGGTGCTGGAATTAGGGACACCGGGAAGACTACAAGGTTGTGCAGGAGCCCCACTCAGGCCTTTTGTGACAGGTACGGCAGTAGAAAGCCTGAGCCTGCACAGAGATCAGCATGTGCAGAAACAGGCTTTGCGCAGGATGTTATGCTTGGCTGTTTGGCAGTAAGCAGCTGCCAGCCCATGTTGAAAGTCAGTTGCAGGAGGTCGTGCACGGGTGACCCAGCGCATTCTTCGAATCTTCTTAGGTTAGATCTCCTTGAAGGCCATTCTGGATACGAGCAGGTTCTGGGTACAGTATAAGATCGAAGTTTCTTGTTCGTGGACTTGTTTTCAACAAAGCTACGATATGCATCTGCAAGTCTGAAACTATACGTGCAAGACGGTGTGACACGGTCGAGCCTAGTCAGGTCAGATACATATTGTCATCACAGCATGGAATTCAGGGATTGATGGAGCAGGTAGTGACGTGAAACCCGTGAGGGTGCCAACGGCACGTTCGCACGCTTTCCTCCGCTTGTTTCAACTAATGGAATGCATCTGCATCCGATCTTAGCCGACTTTGATGCAGTCGAAGAGGAACAGGAACCAGTTTGCCTTGCCTCTTACATAGGCGGAGGTGTTTCAAAACTGTTGGTTGAACCTGCACAATATGCACAAGCTACCAAATCTAACCCATGTTCACACGGCTCATTGTCTAGTTGGTTGAAGTACGCAGGCTATCTGGGCGTGGAGAAGTGTTCAGGCAAAAAGTTCTGCTTCGTGTACGACAAATTTGGTTTAAGAATGCTCTCGTAGTCCTGGAAACACAGTGCTTGGACTTGAAACATCAATATTTTGATTCTTGATAGAGCCTGTACTGTAGTGGTCTCTCCGCCGCAGAGCATTGTGCTCGGTATGACTGTCAGGCCCATACACGTAGGTTTCAACAAGAACACAGAGTTGCAACCGCAGGAATAACGAGAGACTTTTGAGAAAGGAGACCGTAAGGCTGGGACACTAAAGCTATGGCATTTCTGACAGCTCTGGCCTGGCTATTCTTGACAGCGCGGGCAGAGCCACAAGAATTGGATGATCTGCTGCAAAAGCGGAGTGACTTTGAGGTGATGTGGGGATCTCTATTCTCTCGGTTTCGCCTTCTGGTTAGGAGAAGATGCCTGCGCATAAAGAGCTTTGCATCTCTCAAATTTCTTGAATCCATGCTTTTTTTGCAACTCGCTGCGGTCGAAGGTGTTGCAGAAACTGTTCAGACCTCACAGAATCTCAGAATGCTACAGCTTGCACCGAGGCAACAGTTGTGCCATGTGTGCAGGTGGTAGTGGTTATGACCACAACACCTCGGAGAATCTTCGGCAGTTTGGCCGGAGCGATCGATGGCATCTTCCAGCAGAGTGTGACCTGGCAAAGACGATGATGAAAAAGGCTGTTCTCACAGCACTTTCTCAACCTTGTCTGATGTTTTTGAGACTGATGAAGGAAGTTTTGATTACGTTAAACTGCGAACAGGCTTCCTCATGTTCTGTTTCATGTTCTCTCGCTGCGTATTATGCCCCGCCAAACTATGCCACGCCATGGTAAGACATGGCATGCACTTTGCTCAAGGCATTATTATAGCACAAACTATACGCAGGTATCCTTCTGTGAATAACTCCCTGTATCGCGAGTGCTTGACCATATTGCATGCTTTCAAAAGGCTCTTGTGTGTTGACACAATTGATGGGGTCCATGCAGCCAGGACGCTCGAGCTGCACCTCAGATTTAATTTAGGTGCAGGAGCTATGGATTGGCCTGGACTCATCGCCCAGGCAGAGAATCCCAGTCCTGGACAACAGGTGGTGGATGCAGCCATTAAGTGGTTCACCGAAGAGTTGCGTGCGACCACTCCAGCGCTGGCTGAAGGATTCCTGGAGAGTGCCGTGGAATCTAAGCTCCCGTCCGATATTGTGGTACAAGCCTGTTGCCTGCGCCTGTTGCGCGCAGTCGAAGCTGTTGCGCAAGCTAAACGGTTGCAGCCATCAGGAACAATCGGCGCAACTTCAGCCATGCCAAGTGCCGCAGGACAGGGGTTAGTTTCTCTCTTGGCCCCTGCTAAAGCAGTTGATGTAGCGGCTTTGGTTGACAAAGCATCCTTAAAAGGGCTATCCTTCAGCCTTCAGGCAGAACAAGGGCTGTGGGGCAGCATGCAGACCCATAGCGAGCAATGCAAGGCTGCTGGACGCAAGGCGCTCCCGTTCATTGATTTGACATCGAAAGAAGCACTGCCCATGTGGCTAACAGCAGACCAAATTGGTGGCAAGTTCCACTTGCACGATGACAAAGAATGGCCACTGCAAGGTGGACAGGCTACATCCAGCTTGCAAGATTTGAGCCGTGCCCTCAAGAGCGCGACTGCATCGACAGGATTCTTTCGATCTGTGCCTCAGTGGATGGTAGCCTTTCTGGTGGCTGTTGCAACGCAGCAGCTAGCATGGGTGGATGTTTTGGCGCATGTTGATGTTGTCATGCAACTGGCAGAGCAAGAGCGCCTCAAAGGGCGCCCTCCCTTTTTGGCGCTTGTCTATGAGGAACTCATGCGTCGTAACTGGGCCAGGAGAGCTGAGAAAGGCGATCCTGACTTGAACATTAATTAGCCAGGAAGTGCAGAAGATCGACAAGGATGTGCTTGACATTGCCCGTCATCGACTGACTGAAGTGCTTAAAGAGGCAGGTTTAGATGGGCATGATGACAGCTCGCAGTCTTCCAAAGTTCAGCACCCAGCACAAGTTATGCCTGGTGCCTTGGAGTTGGTTGGGCGCCAGCTTTCAGCTGCAGAAGCAGCGCAGAGACACTCGGAAAAGGTGTCCAAGCAACTTTTGGAGGCGCAGCAGGTTCTGCTGAAGCGTGGTCGAGCCATGGAAGAGTCAAGTGCGGACGATACTGCCAAGGGGCAGGGAAGACGGGGCTATCCAACAAGAAGCTGAAAGCGCAAAAGTTTTTTGCGAAAGCTGCCGCCCGTCGTCAGGAGCAGCAACAAAAGAAATGGGCGGCTTTTCCTGAAACGGTTCGAAGCTGTCAGAGGGCACAGGGATGCCAAAGCTGTTTCATTCCCTGCCACCGGCATGCAAGGCAGGCAAACCGTGTTTTTGGAATGCTTCGCTCGCGCTGCAATTCTTACCATGGCAGTTTCTTTACTTGCTCTGCCATGTGCACAGCCATGGGATATCCAGTTTGGGCCGCAGTGGGATGTCATCCGTAATGGGCGCAAACTGATTGAGCTGGCAAGACATGGGATACTCCGCCATGTCCACTTCGGCGCTCCGTGTCAGTCGTTGACGTGGGCGAGGGACCCACAACTGCGCAGTGCCGAATGGCCGTGGGGGTTGCCCAATTTGTTGCCGCATCAGCAGGAGCTAGTCGACATGGGCAATGCCTTGGTAGAGTTCACGGCTCTGCTTTGTGATGTTTTGCACGCAGCTGGGGCCTCCTTTTCAGTAGAGAATCCAGAGATGTCTTGGGTGTGGCTATTGGCTCCTGTGAGGCGTCTTCGAATGTTGTCAGGGGTGGTGTTTTCCAAAGTATTTTTCTCGGATTACCTTGCAGACTAAGGGGGATGGTCTGGTTCGAGGGGTCGAAAGTCTTTCGAACCAGGTTGGCTCAGACATATCCACCACTGCTTTGTGTACGGCTGGCGGAGTTGCTTCATGAATCATGGGATACGAAGCCAGGAGCTCGGCTGGATGCTGGATACCGGTTGCCTCAGAAAATCCTTCAAGTCGAAAAGATCATGGCAGTACCGACATCCCTGGGCAGGTTTTTGGTGCCTTTTGGTCTGGGAGCCCCAATCGGTTTGATGCCGGAGCAGCATGTGCAATTTGCCATGCTGGTCAAGCATCCGTCGTGCTGCGCAAGAGGGTTTGGTACGGATCTCAGGGCTGCCTTGGATTTCGAAATTGACGCTTCCAGCGACGAGATTGATGAATTCAGGGCCAAGGTCCTGCGCTGCGCCAAATCCTCAGCTTGGCCCATGACTTGCGGCCTGAGCAAGCAGTGTGGGCTCAGACAGCGCCTGATCCATTGAAAGGGTTGGTGTCTCGCATTCATGGGCCGCTATGGGTCGCGTTGCTGAGTCAGGCTGCCATTCTTGTTTTCCTATGGTGGGAACCTTGCCTCCGTGTGAAGGGGGCGCATCTCCTGCTTATTTTCCAGACCAGGGGTCGCTCGAGGATCTCAGAGCCAATCGCGAGGTCTTGAACCGTCAAGTCCTGGCCGCGCTGAAGGGGTTGCCTTTCAGTGAGGATATTGCTCCTCAAGTGGATTTGGATGCTGAGTTGGGGGCTATGTCCCAGCCACGAATGCTGGAAACTGAGGACTTGAAGAACGTTAATTTCACTCGGCGGATCCCAGTGCGGGAGCTCAGATCAAAGGGTTGGCGCACACGAGTAGTGGACCACGCTAGCGAGAGTGGCATCAACATGTGTACTCGGCCACAAGACCGGGTGAAGCGTGACACGCTAGATACTCTGGCCAACGTGGCGCTTGAGTTTTATGACCAGGATTGTGACATCAGACTCTGGAAGCGAGATGTGTCGCAAGCTTTCAGAAGAGTGCCGGTGGCTGCCGACCACTTGGAGTTCATGTGGTGCGTGTGGATGCACGCCGGAATACTCTGGGTTGCGCAACATCTTGGTGCGCCGTGTGGTACGGTGGCTGCAGTGTACGCCTGGCGCAGGGTCGGTCATCTTCTCGGTTTAGTTCTGCGCCTATTCTGTGCTCCCACACCTAGGTATGTAGATGATTTCTTCGGGGCTAGCCGTATCGGTGTGCGCCTCACGGGGGGAGTAGTGCTGTCTGTCTTGGCCAGCCTGCTGGGGTTTCCATGCGATGATTCCAAAAGTGCAGACCAGGCAGTTGCTATGACGGTCTTGGGGTCCCTGTGCAGATTGTGTTTTGCTGACAGGGTCTTGTATTCATCGGTGGACCCAGATAAGGCTGCCAGGTATCGGAAGCATCTCCTGCAGATTCTTGATACGCAAGTGTTAGCGCCGGGCGATGCCAGCAAGATTGCAGGCAGGCTCAGTTTTGCTGTCGTAGTGTCAGGACACCGGGCAGAGCATACATCAAACCTTTTTTTGCACAGTCCCATTCGCCAATGCCCCAAAACAAAGCTTCGCCGCATCTCCTGCAAGCGGCTCAGTGGTTCCTTCAATATCTGGAGAAACCGCTGATTTCAGCTAGGAGGGGAGGTGGGGAGTCACGTCCGCAGTGCATCTCGTGGTCAGACGCGGCTGGGACCAGTCGCTGGGTAGCCTCCATTTTGTTAGTCAATGGCTGCAAATTTTGGACACGCCTCCAAAGCCCCTGAGCATGTTTGGAACTTGCTCTTGGATCGGGGCGAGAATCAAATTGGATTTCAAGAGCTACTTGGTGTCCTATTGACCAGGGGCACATTTTCCAAGTTTTTGCACAGTGCAGGTTGGATCTCATTTGCAGATGATGATGGGGTTGTCCACTCAATCCTGAAAGGCGGAGGTGGGGGTCCTGAGGCTTTTGAATGCAGAGGCCGGTTTTGGCATGAGCTGGCTGAAGCGCAGTGCGATTTGCACATGGCTCGTGTTGAGTCAGGGTCAAACCCTGCCGATGCACCGACGCGAGACAAGTTTGATGCGCTACAGCGAATGAGTGCCAAATGGATGCCCCCGCAGCTGCCTGACTGGATCCAGACCATGTGGCAGGGGCCCATCCTGCGATGAGTGAGGGTTCAAGAGCACGTATTCGTGTTTGCGCCACTTGAAGTTGCTCTGCGTCTGCTGGGTTCAAATTTTTTTATTGCATGGCTTGCAAAGGCAGTTAGGAGGCTCAAACCAAAGCTTCAGTGCTATGTCTTTCCTCAGGGATTGCCATGGATGTGCCGAGGGAAAGGACAAAAGCTGCCTTGTGGGCTGCCGCTGCATGGGTGCAAGAGGTGTTGGAAGCATATGTGTGCGATCAGTCCAGCATGGCCTCTAAGTTTTTGCGCCAAGCGGAAGGAGCTGTGGGTGAAGCTCCCTGATAACTTGCAATCGCGCAGGGCAGGCATTATCAAGACGTGGTGGGCTTTGAAGGGTGACGCATCCAAGTCCCGCCACCCCATGGGAGGCTGCGCGCCCACTGAGTTCAAAGTCAAAATGGCAAACATGGCTGATGCAGGCTGACAGATCTGAGACTGTGACGCTTTGGCATCAGCGTGCAGCGCTGCGCCTTGTTGGAAGGGGCTTCCGAGAACCCTCACATTTGGATGGCCTTAAAGCTGAGGCGGCAGCGAAGTTTTCCTCTGACGACCGTTGCACATGCATTCTGAAACAGGCAGTGCGCGTGGCAGCCAAGGAGGCCACTGTCAAAAGGGCACGCCTTGCTAAGCAGGTCATGACGGCCAAGCCTGTTGTTGCGTCAGCAGCAAAAATCGCAGACGAGTGCGCCAAGCAGGGAGAAGACATTCCACCGGTTTGGGATCAAGGAAAACCCCGAGGCAACATTGCACGTGCAGCTGCTAGTGACTAGCGATGAGCCTCTTCTCAGAAATCAGCTAGCTGATCGAGCTGTACAACTACAGTTGGCTTCTCGACAAGGAAGTCTTTGGTCAGTGGCTTCAGGGCTTAGAGCATGGCATGAGTTCGCAGTGGCTGTCCTGGGGTACAAGAACGATGCGACAATTCCTCCAGCAAACGAAGGTGATGTGTTGAAATTCATTACATTGTTCCGGAATGCAGGAACTGCCACAAACTATGTAGGCATGATTGCGCGGGCATGTAGGCTTCGCAGTCTGTCGCTGGACTGGCGTGGGCCAGCACTAAAAATGGCGCTGCAAGGCCTCAAGAAGGTGGAAAACTATGGCCACGCTGGGCTGTTGAAACAACCAACGCTGTTGGATCAGGTCACAGTGATGCGCCTGGTTGCCCTGTGCCACAAACTCCAGGAGTTTCAGGAAGCTGCTCCGCTGTTCATGTTGGCGTGGGACTTCTTGTTGAGGGTGCAGTCCGAGGCTGTTGACCTACAAGCTGGCGCAGTACATGAGTTGTATGACCTTCCTCCAGGGCGACACTCTGCAGTCGTCATTTGATGCTCACAATGCAGTACACATACGTTTCCGACGGAGAAAGAACATGCCGAATGGATCCTTGATGTCCCGACCATGTACATGCCATGGTAGCGATGCTGAAATGTGGTGCACATCACACATGCTCAAGGGTCGATTGCAAGCGCTTCAAGTGCGGCAGCGTTTGTTTCACCAAACATCTCCTCAATTCTTAAAGTTGTTCCATAGAGCACTTGCTTTGCTATCCATTCCTCATGCTGACCAGTTCGGATTCAAGGCATTTCGGGCCGGGCCACACAGCTGGCCAGGGATGGAAAACCCGTTCATGTCATCATGCAACTGGGCCAGTGGAAGTCAGCTGCAACTCTAAACTATGTATCTCCGGATGCTCTTGATGCTGGAGTCTTTTGGCATCAGATCGTAGATGGTGACTCTGACAAGTGTTGTGCAGTCAATAAGCAACGTTGGGGGCGGCGTTGCGGTGAGAGGGCTGATGCCCACAGGATATCTGCAAGTGTCATCGGATGTGAGTTCCATTTGCCAATCCTGTGGGAGCCTCCGATTCATCTGCCGAAATCCCAATGTTAACAGCAACCGTGCATAAAAAGTGATGCGATTGCCGCTTATTGAATGCCCTGGCTGAATTGACACATAGCTCAAGCCTGCGGGGAGCTCAGAAATTGTGTGCTTTCAAAAGGCTCTTGTGTGTTGACGCAATTGATGGGGTCCATGCAACCAGGACGCTCGAGCTGCGCTTCAGATTTAATTCCCACCCACAACCACCACCTAAAGTGCACGGGGGGGTGAGAGGGCTGATGCCCACAGGATATCTGCAAGTGTCATTGGATGTGAGTTCCATTTGCCAATCCTGTGGGAGCCTCCGATTCATCTGCTGAAATCCCAATGTTA